AAAGAGCAATCTAGGATTGAAGACATTCATAATGAGTGGAGGGACAATTAAAAGTTCCACATTCATCCAACCATCCATTTTCAAACCACTTTATCCAACACAGGGTCATGGGAGTGCCAGAGCCTTTTGTGGCGAGCAACTGGTGTAAGACGTTTTACACTCACCAGTCCATTGCAGAGCACTCACAGTGGCAACCACACATGCACACATACCAGGGCCAATTTACAGAAGACAGAATTAATCTACCAGCATGTCTTTGGACTGTGGGAGGAAACAAGAGAAAGATAGCACCCCAGGAATTAAACCCAGTGTTTTTGGGCTACAATGATAACTATTTTGCCACTGTGCTGCCCAATTCTTCATCCAAAATATATCAATTATTTGCTAGAGCAGATGAGGAGACTGGTGCTCCTAAGGATGACTAGAACAGGGATTTCAATCAGCCAGTTGAAACAGATAGGTGGAAAACAGTTTCATGCAGCATTTTTACTATTTCTTGTAATAGTAAAACATAATTAATACAATTCAAAACCTTACATAGCGTATATTTCACAAAAAGAAGGTTAGTTACTATGGGGGTGTCAGAAACATATATAGTATACACAATTACTATACATATTACTAGAGTAATAGATACAGTATACTGTAGTATGGACTATTAGATATTACTTAATGGGAAGAACAGAAAAGCACCATCATATCTTTACACTTCGCTTACTGACACAAACTTGACCCTTGAAAAACATGTCTGTTCTTTAACAAATGAAATAAAAGAATTTCAGTGGGCATGGAATCTTATTTTTACTTCACTCAGATTATATTCATCCTCTGCTTCCTACACCTTAAAAGATATGCAATTGATGTTATTGGGAGTGGTTATCCGCTTTTCCTTTTCCATAAAATATACTGTAATTATGCCATGAAATTATATGTATACCCCTCTTAATGCTAAAAAATAAGGAATTTGGCTGTTCGTTGCTTAAATGGAGCACCAGTCCATTTGCTTTGTGCCTTTAAAAAAAATTATTAATTAAAATTTGGAATCAGTGATGATTCTATCCCTCCCCCCACACACCTACCATCACGGTTTTGGAATAGTTGATCAACACCTGCAGACTCCATGCATACATTCACTCATTTTCAGGCCATATGCTACTTACATATACAAATCCCACAGAAACAACTAATTAGGACTGATTGATCCTGCTCATGCTGATCATACTGCAAGCTTACAGGCACCCAGTGAACCACAGCAGCTGACAATGGTGTAGCCGATCACAAACTCATCTAACTACAGACTGGGGATCCTGTCCACAGTTGCATTCATAACTCAGTCCAGATCTGTGCCAATGAGTGTGACATCTTTGCAGTACGGGAACCAAACTGTGCTCTAGAAGCAGCAGTTTGTTCTAGACAACTACAAATCTCGCTTTAATATTTTGTATGCTTGAAATGGCAACACAGGAAAACTTAGGAGATACAAAATAATAAGTAGTGTAAGAGATGAAAAAAAAAACTATTTCTTTGATGCCAGGCATCTAATGTTTTTTTCCAATCCAGTGTTTCCTCATTAACACTTCATGTCTAATTAGGCATGCTTAAAGTAAACCTCCAACATGATCTCCATAATCAAGCAATTCCACATTTGACACTTAGCAAAAGCTAAGGCAAATGCATTTGTGATGAGTGTCCTTGATAATTCGTTTATTTAGGCCTAACAATCACAATGCAGAGGGTGGAGCGGTGGCTCTGTGGCTAAGGATCTGCGCCTATGACTAGAAGGTTGCTGGTTCAAATCCAGTGGCTGGCAGAGGAATCCTACTCTGTTGGGCCCCTGAGCAAGGCCCTTAACCCTAACTGCTCCAGGGGTGCCATACAATGACTGACCCTGTGCTCTGACCCCATGCTTCTCTCCCTGTCTGTGTCTCTGTGGAGAAAAGCTGGGGTATGCAAAAAGATGAATTCCTAATGCAAGAAATTGTATCGGGCTAATAAAGAAACATTATTATGATAAGGAAAAGCCAGCAAAATCCCCCCCCCCCCCAGCTGTAGAAACAGAATCTTCTTACTCCATTTATCCCACAGAAAAAAACTAATGCCTGTAATATAATAACAACAGACAAGCATTGCTAGGAATGCAGAGCTGCTCGATACAGTACATTGTCAATGTGTACTTCTGAGATTTGTGCAGAATAATATGTGCACTGCAAGGCTTTGTGCAACCAACAGTTAATTACAGCCCTTTGATGCAAAGGCAACAAAAGCCCTTTGTGCACAGAATTTCATTGTAAAATTGCAGCCTTTCATACATGAAGCAATACAAAAAAATCTGCAGAAGCAAAAGAGAATCCATTAAACAATTTAATTCTTCTCCTGGTAAATAAAGTTTATTATGCTATTTGTAGATCCATTTTGAATTTTTCCTTGAGGGTGAAATGTCAGGGAGCTGTAAAAGATGAGATCAGGGTTGCTGGGTGACAGGCCAGTGGAAGGTCATTACTGCATGGAGCGCCGGGATCCTGTAGTGTCCCACAGCTTGCACAGTCTCTCTGACACATGATTGATTCAGGGCTGCCACAGACCACCCTCAGCGACTCAGCAAACTGCAGAACCGATCGCACCTGCAGTCTTCAGTTTGAAAGGCACCCCTTATTATCTAGGTAGAGGGTTCTACTGGATCATCCCCTTGATGAACCCTGGAAGTCTTGCAACCGAAACATGTGCCACTGTTTGCACAGTGAAAAGCTACGCATAAAGCTTGAGAATCAGAGAGATGCAGAAGCTAGATGCTGCATATATAAAAGATGACGTGACGCATCTCCAGTAATCTGCGTGAAGGAGGTGACTTATTGAAAGCGATCGTCACAGCTGTCTGAGCTTAGAGGAATTTCCTCTGTGTGTGTGCTTATATGGTTTGTGAGACTTTGGGAGGCTGTCATGATATCACAGCAACCAGGTGCCAATTAAAGCAGTTGAATCTCAAGACCAGATGCCAGACTGTGCAGATAAAGTCATTTGCAGCTCTTTGTTGGTTGATGCTGTCTTAAAGCAGTACGAGGCAAAATCCGCCTTGAAAAATTTCCTTTCCAGGTTCTTTTCTTAAAATGAAGGCTGTCGTGCTGAAATGCAAATTCTTCCATTTACCTTACAAGCAGCTAATGAACTCATAGAACAATATGATAAACTCGGGAAGTCACAATTTCATCTTGGTGATTTTCACTCATTTATTCTAATAAAATCAAGTGGCATACGAAGAGCACTGTATTTTCCAGTCTGGATACAATCATTTAGGCTAATCCTGCAGATGCTTAATCTTCAAAAAAGATTCAAAATGCCTGCACTTGAAAGTGCAAAACGTGGTTGTCAAAACTTTCAAAAAACGCATTTTCGAAAGTTTTGGGATCTTGAGTAACATCATGAGAAAAGTTACATAATAATCCTTACGCTTATGAAGCCCTTTTCTGGACACTCCACTCAAAGAGCTATACAGGTAATGGAGACTTCACCCCACTACCACCAATGTGCAGCATCTACCTGGATGATGCAACGGCAGCCAAGTGCACCAGTACACTACCACACATCTGCTATTAGTGAGAAGGAGAATAGAGTAATGAAGGCAATTCATAGATGAGGATTATTATTAGGCCAGGTAAAGACCAGGAGAAATTTGGCCAGGACACCATGGTTAAAGCTCCTACTCTTTTCGAGAAATGCCCTGGGATTTTTAATGACCATGAAGAGTCAAGAGCTTGGTTTAACATCTCATCTAAAGGATGGTGCTTTTTTACAGTATAGAGCTCCCATCAGTATATTGGGGCATTAGGACCCTAACAGACTGCATGGTGAATGCTCACTACAATATTCCCTACTACTAAAAATAACACCTACCAACCTAACACTAGGTTATTACCACTAGGCTGTTCCTGCAGCAACCTTAGATTTCCCAGGATGTCTCCCATCCAAGTACTGGCCAGGCTCACACCTGCTTCAGTGGGTTACCAGGTGTGAGTTGCAGGGTGGAATAGCAGCTGTCTAGCTATGTGAAATAATATTTTTTTCTAAACTCCTGTACAAATCTGACATGGGGTAATTCCTCTCACCTGACTTGAATGCATACTAAACACACACTTGTTGTACAGTATGTGACATCTCAGAAATAACTGAAAGCCTGAGATAACATTATCAGGAATAACCACTTTGCCAGAAGTGGAAGTATTTTCTATGATTCTAACAAATTGGTAATGGTCACTCATGAACACCCATTCATGGTAATAACCTAGGGTTAACATGACTTGGACTTAGACTATAAAATTCTTTGTAGTTTTGACATTGCTGGAATTGAGGACATAAAGAATATACCTTGTGTGTGTCTTCTTAAAGTGTCCTCCAGAAATGCCCTCTTCATCACAAACTAAGCCTCATTTCAAACCTTCACAGATCTGCACTATGACTCCTTGCTTCCCTAAATTGCTCTAAAAGTATGTGTATGTGTGGTGTTTGCAAACAAAGAAATGATTTTTTCATTTCAGTTTCCTCATTACCCCACCATTTGCAATCTCCTGTCCTGGGAATGTTGAGTAGTTGAGTAATTGGAGATTTCTCTTCTGTAAACTCAGATTAATATTGTAAAATTTAATAAAAGCTCCATCTTGTATCTGTTTTTCTGAGAGAGTCAGAACCTCTCAGATTTTGTCTCTGTTCCTCATCTCCAAACAACTGCCAAAACCCCCAATGAGTAGGAAAAATGAGAAGGGGGCATGCAGAATCTATTTCAAGTTAACTAGCTCTGGGTGGTTACCAGTTCAAGCTCTGTGCCCTTAACTCACTGTGCATAACCCTGGAGCCCCATTGTGCTCCAGTCTTAATATGAACCTGTGCAGTAGTTGTTGATACTGTATGTAGTTGTTCCTTTGGTTTCAGGATCTTGTTGTTTTCAGTAAAGAAGAAACAGAAAACCTGGGACCATAAACATCTTCAAAGCCACAGACGTACAGTGTTACCTGCAAACTTGACATGAAACTTGTTCTCTGGTTTCAAGATCTGGACGTAGAGGGGACAGTTGGGGGCAAAGTCCTTCACAGCCCATGCTCTGAGAATTGTCTGGTGATCCTAGAAGTCATGACAGAAGCACAGTTAGGATATGCACGTGTGTACAGCACAAGTACAGATATACTATGTAGTTCATGTTCCTACATTTACACTACACAGATCTGCAATATTTCAAAAGCCTTTTGCAATAGCAAATAGGGCTCTTAATTCAATACTAATTAATCAATCACATAGCATAAGATACTATTTTACACAAGAAGAGATACAAATGGGAGGAAACCTTTTGCCCCCCTTTTTTTTTTGCCTTGCTTAACTCATTCTTTTATGTAATCAAAACCAAAGACCCCTTGACCAGCAAAATGTAAATTACAACATACAGTAATGCACTTTATACTGATTGGAATATATTATCACAAGAACAGACTTTATTACATTCACACTGGAACTCCATTGGTATCTCTAAGCATGTTAGGGACTGAAGTTAAGTATACTTTACACAGACATAGGCAAAAAAGTTGCAGAACTGGTGAAAAATAATATGAAACACAAACAAATACAATTAAAACACAAGAAATCTGGAAACTGGAAGAAAATACAAAATTAATTTGAAAAAAACTCAAGCAGTTTCTTAATTGCTCACAATCTTTCTTCTTCAAGCTTTGAGACACTGCAAGAATATCTAGAGTGGTGAATAAGCACAAGGGAATGCTTTAGCTGGTACACATGGTAAAGAGACTTTACATAGGTTTTCAGAGTTGCAAAAAGCTAATCTCTTGTCGTTTTGGTACCTTTTTTTAATGGTGTAGTTTTTTCACTTCCATCCATAGTGCACTAAAGACAAGAGAGTCATGCATAACATGATGGAGGCTGATGGTGCTTTTCCTTGAAAAGGTCCAGTTGAAGCCTTGTTTGTGCTACCCAACTCCCTGCTCCAAACAGAAGCCCCCTTTGTGCTCCATTCATTACAAATAACACTGCAGCATCTGTTGTAGATACAGTATGTATTGTAGTTCATCCCATATTCTCTTTATTACTGTATCTAGGGCATCACAAACCCAGCCTTCAAAGGTTGGTTCTCTGTTCAGTTCCAGCAAACTAAAATCCAGGTGTCTGTTCCGTCGAAGGCTGGAGCTATGTTTTCCCTTCAGAAAGGGTATTGTTTTCCCTTTAGAATGAGGCTATTGACACTTTGGAGAATGCCTACTTATTATTAATATTAAAAAATTATTTACTCTGTTAAGCAATATAAGCGACGGCGCTGCTTTTCAACAACTGTAGATCTGCTACTAAGCTAATTTTCAGTCCAGCAGTCTTGCAAGTCATTCCAGGTCTCACCAATTAGCCTAAATTATGACTCATGCATGTGGGATTTGCCCTTTTCATTTTGTGATATGTGATAATGTCAGGGGAAAAAAGAAAACCGGCGCAAATGACACTGTTCTCTAATCACAGCTGTCAAAACTGCCGAAAATGTACCATGAAGGCCATACTGTACTTTCCACAGCCTTCAAAGCTATTTTTTTTCCTTTTCTCATGTCTGAAGCACTTGCAATATAAGCTAAATAAGTGCTCAACCAGACTGGCTTTTGCCTTGAAAAGTTAGCAAACAATGTGGAACAATGCAATTTTTTTACTTTCTTACAAAAAGCACAGTTATGGTCTACAAAAAGTTCAAAGAACACGAAACAAAGTGATTCCTGGAGTTGGTGATTTGGCACACAATGTGATAACAGAGCTTGAGGAAACATCAGTTCTCCTGCCAGAGAGAAAGCTGCTAACTCTTTCACATAACCAAATTTTTTGTGTTTAATCTACTGATCAGTCTAACTTTTGATTGATGCTCAATTCTTGAGCATTCTCCTCTGCTGCCATTTCTTAACTTCCAGGGCTCCTCCAATTTCAGCATAATTTGAAGCGTACTAAAAATGTACTAAAAATATGCCAAATCAGAACAACTGCCAGCAGGATTATTTATTTTCTTCTACAGTCATTTTCTGAGTCACTGATCACTTTTAACATGGTTCTGTCACTAAAGTAGCTTTTCTATAGTTGCAGTCACTGTGCGTTTGATGTAAAAAACTACTTGGTATTAAATTGATATGTCTGCTCTTTCAAATGGGCCATCTACTAATTGAATTTTGCTTTCACTAATCTAGTAGAGTCTGCCACTATGGCAGAGGAGCTATTACCGGAGAGAGTGCAATTATGTTTTTGACCACACCTGTAGGAAATGCTATAAATGGGACAGGCATTATTAATAGACAGCTGTTATGAGAGAAATTATGGTAATAGACAGATTGAAATAGAAAATTGAACAAAACAGAGCAGGATCCAAATGGGGATACACACAAATACAAAGAGACTTTGAAACAAGGTTCTAATTAATGAAAAAAGTTGTTCAACCAGTAAAGACTCTGTTTTGAACACAAGCTGAGTCCTACAGCCTATATGTCCCCAGTTTGAGTCATTAGGTAAAAGTAAAAAGGATGTGCCCAGCACACTACTGTATGCTGCTGGAGTCAGAGTTTTGCTTCTCTGAACACCCAAAGCCCAGACACCTATACTGCGAGTCTGCAGTGCTGTCCGTGAGAGCTATATCAATACTCTGATCACTGCTGTGGCTGCTGTGGGATACACAGAATGAAGAAAGATGGTTTTGACCATCAGAGGAAGGCGCATGAGGGTCATAGTGCCAAAGCAAGTGCTTTTCACAGCAGCAATTACAAATTGGGAAGAAACATAAAAAACACCCATGCCCAATGAATAAATAAAAAATAATTGTAAATTAGAGAAACTGTAATTTAGAGTTTTTTTTAAAGAAGTTCAATAAGCACAGCCGTGTAATCCATTCATTTGCCACTTAATCCTGTCAGAGTAGCTATGGAGGTGTGCCAGGAATTTTAAGATAACCTGAAACCAATAAAAGTCTTTACTCAAGGCCAGTTATGTTAACTGCTACAGCCAGCTACTTAATCCAGTTTGTTACCATTTATTTTTACACTGTCTCCCTGAATCACATACTGAAAACAAGGACAGTCATATAAGCATCAGTTTCATCAGTCCCACAAGTACATACCCCTTTGATTAATACACTTTTAACTGGGTAAACCACCAGGAAAGAATTGATTAACACAGAAGGGAACTAAATCTGGAATTCAGGCACATGCAAAAGCTGTAATAAAGATTGAGAAAACATCATTCAAATTATTATTATAAGGATAAATGTGGATATATACAGTAGGTACATACAGCTCCTCCAACACATTAGAAAACAAAAAAGTTCAAATGATTGAAGTGTCACACTAATTTATTTTGGAATTCCTATATCAGTTACCCTTTTAAATCTTACATATGATAATATTGTTTATCTAGCACATTACAATACTGCATGCTATTCAAAGCAACAAAGCAGTAGTTGAATTTTAGTTGATTTCTGTAGGTCCTATAGAGTCTCTGCAAGCAGACACTGAAATGGCAGAAACGTTTTGCTAATTGTTAAAACGTGCTTCATTCCTTGAAAACAAAAACTACATTTTAAGAAGTTAATGATTCACAAGCATATTTTCAAGCTAGCAGTCTAGATTTTGAGAACAAAAGCTAATTTTCATCTTCTAAATATAAATCATACCCTAGACATGTGATTTATAAAAGGGTTTTAGCATTTCAAAAGGTCCCTGACAAGCAAATTTATTAAAAGTCAATACAACACTGTAGATATCAAAATGGATCCAAAGGAAAAACAAAATTAAAAAAGCAAGTAGATTTAAATAAACAGACTCCCTTTGCAAACAGGTCTGTCTTTGACACTAAGAATTTGATGTGCAATTGATAACAGCACATTAATTTTTCAAAAGAATGGTAGAGTTTGTATACAGTAATCCCAGCTGCGCCACTTCTGATCTTTTGTGGCATAGACACGGGCTTGCTATTCAGAGTTCACTGCAGTGATTTAATTTTGCTATACCTATCTCATTAGAGCAGTAAGGAAATGTCAGATGAAACAGAAACAAATGACATAGCATTCTCCCAGCACAGAGACGGGCTCTTTCAATGTAATGTTTGTTAATGAGACAGGCCCACACCCAGAAACAACTGTCCAGCAGAGGACTGATACGTGGTGAGACAAAATCACATTGGCACACATTCTCACATTATCTGCACTGCTACCTCCAAATATGAGTGCACCATATAGATGAGCCTTTTCACCTCATGATCAGTAGGAGGCAGACAAAAACAAACTCAGCTCCTGCAATCTTTTTGCTTGTTGCCAACTCTGTGCAGTGATGGGATAGGCTGGAGGAGTCCCAGGTTTTGATCCAAACATGAATCTCTGAACAAGGAGCTTGTTGCAATCTTGTTCATTTAGATCCCCATCTGCTACTGTCTCTTTAAACAATAGCATGATTCTGGGTAATCATGCCCCATAGAACCATTGAGAAAAGCTGTGACCTTTGACCTTTGACATTTACAACTGCAGAAAGTTGGGAGGACTCTCTCAGCTTGCTGGCTGTGGATTTAGCCTTTATTACCATCTGTCTCATGAAAGAAGACACTACACATAGAGTATATTATTGTTCTAGAGTTCTATTAAACAACTGGCCTTTTATATGTAGCTATTTCACTTACTTTTATAATAGGAAAGAGTGGATATGCTTACATCAATATTCTGCCCAGTGAATTGCTTTCTAAGGTTTCAATTATCCAAACGTTTTCATATTTGCCTAATGCTCTCCTGCACACTTTGATATTCACCTGTAGTTTTAGTTTTTACTTCTTCCTCTGTAAATAGTACCTGTAACTAAATCTGCACTTCTCCTTTATATGAAATGAATGCACACCTGTTTCATCTTCTCCTTTATACCACATCATGACATGCCACATAATGCTCTGATGAATGTACATCTGAGCATTAAGCAAACTCAGAGTGTGATAGTCTGTGAATCAGACCCTGGTTCATTTAAAGTTAACTCACCCAGTGGTACTACCTATTTATACAGCAGGGTAGATGAGAGCAATCATGACTAAGGACTTTGCTCATGGATACCAAGGCTAGCAAAACAATGTTTACATTTGGGACTTGAATCCACAGCTCTCTGTTAGTTGAAGTATGTGAGGGGTGTGTTCAGTGTGGAGGCAGAGCCCTGAACGAAGGGCGACACATTGCCTGACGAGTCATAGCTGGACCGCCTTAGCCTAATGAAGAACAACTGTACGGGCAATATACTGTGCACTGGACACCTCTCCGACAGGACGAGCAGGGCATTGCTACGCTACACTAGCAATCCCAGAGGAGACTGTACCCAAGCATGAGGTCGATCTTTTTCTTTTCTTTTCATCTGTCCCACTGTGCAGTTGCACTGGGGCAGGTTGTTCCTTTTTCACAAGTTTTATTTTTATTTTTGACCTTGCACTCCTTGCGCTCCCTGCGCTCCTAGACTGGACCCAGATAGATAGGGAATAGTCCAGTATGGTCCCCCCGCCATTAGATAGGGTAAGTCCAGCCTGGGCATCGCTCTGCACCGACGGCGCAGTGCCACTTTTTGTAACAGTGCAATTTTCCTTTTCCTTTTGTTTTCTTTCAGTTCTCGCTAACCTCGCCGCGGCTCCACCCACTCCGCATTGTTACATGTTCGATCCAGAGTCCTCACCATTGCTCCATGTTGACCGCGTGATGAATCACCATGAAGTGATGTTCCCTCAAGCTGATCTAGACAGGAGTGCATAAAAAACCCTATAGCATAAAATGTCATTCCCTCTACAAAATGGGAAAGCTGAGGGATCTGCAATAGACAGGGACGTCACAGCACTTAGGGGAAGAGCCAGAGCCCACAATGAGGTAGCATTACCTGTCCTCATGGAAGGAGATCAGTTGACCACAAGTTTTTCATGAGGCTGGGTTACACAAAATGAGGGGATAAAAACAGTGAAAGAGATTCAAGGCTCATTCCAAACACTGTGTTCTCTAAGGCTCACTAAGGAAATGTCCAGGTCTTGCTGCAGTCATTCAAAGCAGAGGTGGACACCTCCTAGAGATATTTTTTCTCACAATCTCATTATTTCTGGCTGTTACGGAGAAATGTTGTTATGCTATTATGATGGACGATGTTACCTTAAAAACAAAGTTTCTGTGGTGAATCCAGCCTACTCTGGTGATTCAAATAAAGACTGATAGAGGTCTCAAGCCACACATTCAATTTCCTGCCTATAGGACCACTCTGTTAGAGACGCCTGCTGGATCAGGCTCTCAGTGAACCCCCACATTACCTTGTCTTTGGCTAAAGAATGAAAGACCCAGATTACAGCTGGTTTGAACACAAAGCACAGGGTCAGTGTTCTATTTATAAAAGCATTGCCTAGTAGTTTTCTCCATACAGTCCTCCTTTCCCTTTGTGCAATTATCAATGTTAAGTTTTTAAAGGCATTTTACACCTAACTGAGACTAGACTGTGATTTACTTTTGTTCATACAACACAAGCTCTACCATTACAACTCTCCAGTATGCTTCAGTGCGATCTGTAATTAAACATAGATAAGGAGCAAAAAAACAAAACAAAAAGGAGAACGTACAGCAGCGATGCGATCCACCTCAAAACGGTTGCTAAGGATAAAGCAGGCCTCGGCATCATCCATCCTTCAGCCAGCCAGTAGCAAGACAGCACGGGCAGGAAGGGGAGGGGCCACAGCAGGTTAGTGGAAAAGACAAGGGTTACGGGTTAGTGAGGTTAGCGACAATCAACAAATACAAACACTGTTCATACAGTGAGCAATCAAATTCCGCCGTGCTGCATGCAGGCCTGCTTCAAGGTCAAGCCACTTCACATTTACACGTGCTAAGTAGTTCCATTTCCCCTGCCGAAAGGTTAGGAACTGGTACGCCCATTCAATCCTTTTTTTCTAATTGGTACTTTCAATGTTACTAATGCACTTTTTCCCTGGCAAAGTACTCTGTCACTTTTCTGGTGGGGCCATTGCAAAGAATCACTCTTGGTCAGGGACTTCAATTGAAACATACACTCCTATTATTATATAAGATGAATAATGATAATGAGCAGACAGGGCTGTGCCATGAGAGATACAATGCTCAGTTGGCCTGAGTTTCTATTATAGAAAAATCCTAAGGCATCCATTTGCAAAACCAGATGAGGTAGCCCCCTGGTGTCATAACCGAATTATAAAAAATATATATAAACATTCTCTCAGATGCCCCTTCCTTAATTCAGAGTAAAGCATATTATGTACCCCATCCATCCTTCCTGTGGTGGAGCCATTTTATGGCATAATGTACTGGTGGGGACAAGCTAGAAAGGCTGATAATTCAGCTAGGGTTTAGAAGCTTTGTCATTCTTATCTCACATTCCACGCAAGCAATAAGTATTTGTTGTAGTCGTGATCGGCAATCTTCTATAGCTAATTGTTTAATTTCCCTGATATTCATAAAGTGTTTATAATCCAGCCTTTCCCACTCAGTCACCATCATAACATTAATTGCTTATATTTGTATAGATACTTTCAAACCCAAATGATTCCAAAATGCCTCACATTTAAGAGGGGGACCAACATCAAATAACATTGAAGTGCACCATCCACCTAGGGACACACAGCAGTTCCTCCACACAGCAGATCAGGTGCCGTATCATATGGAGCATGGAAGGTGGTATGTGGACAGCACAGAAGGGTCAACACACTTCCATTTACAAAAATTGTTATGGGATGTTAATGATCAAGCAATCAGGACTCATCTGAGGGATGGTACCTCCAACAGCACAGTGTTCTCAGTCACCAAATGTAGCAAGGGTTTAGAAATTCTAGTCATGAAGTGATAGCTTGAAAAAATCATTCATATGTTTAGTTGATTGACTGTCCTGAGGCTCACAGCTATAAATCACATTTGGCAACAGTTCTTATACAACCTAAGACCCTGTTTCTCGGAAATCTATTTAAAATCAGTGAGCAGAGAATAACTTAGTCTGGGCTCAAATTCTTGAACAAGAGTTTATATAAGGGGTTTTCGGATACTGGCCTTTTTAATCTGTTTCATTGAGTGAGCTTGGCACAACCAGCTTTGTAATTTTTTGATTCCTTGCTAATAGACAGAATAATATAATTAAGCAGCAGGTGGCACCAAAGATTTGTAGTGGAATGGATCTGAGGGACTCATAATTGACATTTGCCGCAGAGTGATCTCTTTATTAGCACTGGGGTGTCTCCTACTTTAGCACAGTGTTAATACTGAATTCAAGCAAGCAGACCCTTTTCAGAAAAACTTACTTGGCTCTCATGAGGTCTTGGTCTTTGAGAGCTGAGCCCTGTAGGTAGATGACTCTCTGGGACCACAGTGGGATCTGGAGCACTCTCCTCACCTGCACATCCATTTCCGTGGGGCACAGGATCACAACGTAATAATCCTGCAAAGACAGGCAGGCAGGTGTGTCCGTCTCTGATCCTGGCAGAATCAGTCACCCTCTGTTGCTCTGCAGTGATCCTTCAATTCCCATTGGCCAATATATCAGAACGCCACGCCAAATGACTACTGTATACTCTGTCAATGTTATTCAATGCGTGCCTTATTTGAGGAACAGATTTCCACCTCCAGAACAAACAGAAAGTTACTTTAAAACTTTGAATAAGGCAATGCTGATAGAAGAAAAGGTTGGGATTAGGTTGGAAAACATTTCAATATCCTTATGGGGATACTTCAATATCCAAGACTCGCATTTTTTATTAAAATGAGCAAAACCTTTGGTTTTGATAAAGACCTCCAAGCAAGATTTCAGCATCTTGAGTCACAAAAAATGTGACTGTTGCATATTGCAGTGTATGGGCATTTTTCTTTACTGTGGATTTGACCGATTCTCCTGCATCACTGCAGAAATAAATCAAAGTGTGTTGGTTTTTTTATGCTTTTTTAAAGCCTGGCGGGATAAAGCCTATGTCTTGCTCAATCTCCAATTTCCCAGCTAGGGAAGCCCTGCAATTTTGAACACTGGATGCATAAATAATATACATCACTGCCTTTCATTATAATCCACTACAAACTCAGAGATTTAGGAAGAGATTTCAACATCATCAGTGTGCAATCATCCAGAAAGACAATCACACCTCATCAATGTGCAATGACCAAGTGATCTAACCTGGTGTTACTGAGCAATGATACTGACAAATGCACATGAGCAAGCACTGCTAAGCCATATCCCATTTTTTTTAAATGGTCTTGTCCACCCAAGCACGCATGCTAAACGCCTAACAATCCAAGAAAAAAAAATAATCGCAAAAAAATGACTAAAACAATCTTTTGCTGACAGGTAACCTGCTGCAGGTAGTCCATAGCCCATTTTAACAGGTGATCACACAACATCACCATGTCATTAATCATGGAGGAGAATGATGCCCTCAGCTATTCAATAACCCTGCATACTGATGGCAAACAATGACCTTGTCAGTGTCTCTAATTACCTTCCTGTTCTTAAGTGCAGGCAGGCTGCCAGTTACATCAATGGATCCTTATGTTTACTTTAAAAAATCAACTTTGCAATACACAGCATCCAGTCTCTCTACATTTGTTTGGCCACTATACTGTCAACCCCTGATATACAATGCCTCTGTCCACAATAGCACAGAAGGCAGGGACCACTTATTGATCATTGCCATTGCCCTTCTTGGAAACTATATTTAGTCAATGTATTGAACACTGTGAAAAATGCTTGCACATTTAAATGTACTAATCAAACTCCTTAATCACTATACCTTGTCAATAGTAGGGATTCTATATCATTTAAAGGAATCCCTTCCAAATAAAAAGCAGCTGAAATTTCTCATTTTAAAAAATGTTACTACTATTATATGTTTTAATTTATAAATACAGAAGTTCAGGTCTACTGATCCATTGCAAGTATTGCAAAACCAAGTCAAGGGTTTAAGTGCATTGCATCCACACAATGCCAGACTTGGGAAGGTATCCCTTTCCTTCTGGGGTCCCACTGATCATCTTGAGTGATCCTTAGTCAAGAACTATTGATCTATGTCCTTTAGGCTCAAGACATACTGTTTCATTTTGTCTAAAATATGATGATGTGTTTTACTACAACAGCACATAGAGCTCCCAGCATGACAAGTAGAGTAATGATAATGTGAGTAATTGAATGGTTACTATTACTGGTGTAAAGCTGTGAGGATTTTCTTTGTATTAACCATCTTAGACAAGCATGTAAGGAGTGAAATTGAATATTTGAATACATTAATAAATATTTAAGGCATTGTAGCAACAGTTACTCTTAAATGCTGAGGCTTCCCACTTGTAAAGTCAGGTGCATCTTATTATTCCTTGACATAAAATTGCTTAACATTGTGGTTCTCCCCAGGACTTAAATTTTCAAACATTGCAACTCTTTTACCCTGAGATTATGCTGTTCTTTCCAATAACAACCTAGCATATAGGGAGTGTGTGTTAGTGTGACTGACTACTGGTGATGGTCTGGCAGTTGGGAGGACTAGAGCAAATAGACAGAGAGTGGTTCTTGTCTATTGTGACAGGGCAGTGACAGTGCTAGGACTGAGTATAGTCTCCAGGGGCTCCTGAAATAAATATAAATATATTATTGTACTGGTACAGTGTCTGCTCTTCTTTAGGATGAGCATGTTATGCCTAACACAGTGTGATGATGCTAGGAGTGTAGTTCTGAAGGACAATTCTTTCCCTGAAGCCAGGCGAATAGCAAGCTGAGCTCCAAGTGCAGGATCACAGAGGACCCTCTGGAGTCTTCGTGAAGACACAATGGGAGCATGGCTTAATGAGAGAAGATGAAGTAATAATGCAGGCTGATAAAAAATGGAGCTGTCTTAATTAATGTGAACTGAAAAAAGGCTGCCGTGGAGAGACTGGCTAGAATACAGCTGTCTGAATAAACACTAAGCTGGGAAAAAGCTGCCTTGGTGCAGCAGAGAGACTGGCTTGAATACAGCTGTCTGAATAAAAACGAAGCTGGGAAAAAACTGCCTTGATGTAATACAGAAGGCTGGAGAGTTGTAGCTTTGGAGGAAACAAAAAAAGGAAGAAGGGGCAAAAACTTACAAGCCAAGAAAAAAAGCAGGGAAGGAAGAATGATCCCACTGATTCAGTGCTTGTAAATGAAGGAAAAAATCAGTGCTTGTCAGGTGAGTGTTTTAGTACTGCAAAGCTTAACACTGACAGCTTAGCTTAATTTCAGAACACTAAATGAATGGGGAAATAGCTTTAAATAGTCTGCTTAATTGTCTGATCGATTTTGAGATGGTCCACATGATGGAAAAATTTGTGGTTTTTGGGAGATATGTAAGTTTGCACAGGGTCAGGAAGATAGCATTGGCTTAGCAGAACCTTTTGATGTAATGACCTGTTAAACCGATAAGAAAAATGTACTATTTGTGAAAATAAAGTTGTATTATCAGGCTTGTGTTTAAACATTGTTATAAATGCTCAAATAAAGTCCCTGCAATGTCCATGAACTGAACTCACCTGTAGTCTAGGGTGAGCGTAGAACTCATTGAGGAAGTCCATGAGAAGGTCGATCTTGAGACTGCTGACGCACAGCACCACATGCTTCTCTGTCTGGGCCCGGTAACGGCTGTAGTTACCACCTGATTTCTGTCGCTCCATCCACAGGAATGCCAGCTGCTCGAACTGGGCATCAGAACAACGCAGGTAGAGGTGTGAGGGGGACACAAACAGAAAGTGACCAGGGCCATGTTTGCTGTGTGCATGTAAATTCAACTCATTTAATCTCTTTGGTAGTTAGCAGCAAATCTAAGGATCTTGGGTTGTCTCTTGACAGAAGCCAGGGTATTGGCTTCAACAACATGACTGGGTAGCTTGTTCCACAATCCTAAAACACTAAAGAATAACAGATACACACAGATCATGGTATGGTGTGTTTTTTACGAGCACAGTCGGCACCAATTAGCTCCAAATGATTCAATCTTCTTTCCACATCTTTTCCCCGCAACTATTTAAACCCTATGCTCACTGCTACCAGTGCTCGGTATTAGGATTTCATCTGCCTCCTGAGCTTGCCTCACCCTCCTTTCCTGAAACCCTCTCTAGCTCGTCTGGATCCCCTCACCTATGAGTCTTTGGCTTCGGATTTCTTGCGACCTCTCTTTTGTCTTGCCCCTCTCGGATTTGTTTGCCTGACTTCGTTCTGACTACTTGGATTTGGCTTCGCTTGGAATTACCAACCACTCTTCTTCGCCTCCCGTCTTGGACACCTTAGCTTTCGGACTGCGTCTCGAGACCTGCACAGGGTTTGTTAACAGCCCGGCATTAACAGAATACCGAGCCAACAATATGAACCCCACTGGTCAGAACAAAGTCAGGCAAATAAATCAGAGATATGTGCATTCATGGTTTGCATGCAGATAGCAAACCAAAGCTTAATATTTATAAGTCATGTAATTTTAATCATATCAGTTGATATAAGTTAAAAGTAATTAAAACCACAGGTGTAAATAAAACCATGCAGCCATATCACACTGCAACTCACAACCGGCAACCCACTGAAGCTAAGCAGGTGTGAGCCTGGTCAGTACCTGGATAGGAGACCTCTGGGGAAAAACTAAGTTTGCAGCTGGAAGAGGTTAGTGGGGCCAACAGGGGGCACTCACTCTGCAGTCCATGTGGGTCCTAATGCCCCAGTATAGTGATGGGGATACTATACTGTAAACGGGTGTCGTCCTTCGGATGAGACGTAAAACCGAGGTCCTGACTCTCTGTGGTCATTAAAAATCCCAGGGTGTTTCTTGAAAAGAGTAGGGGTGTAACCCTGACGTCCTGGCCGAATTTCCCATTGGCCCTTACCAATCATGGCCTCCTAATAATCCCCATCTATGAATTAGCTTCATTACTCTGCTCTCCTCCCCACTCATAGCTGACGTTCTGGTGCACTATGGCTGCCGTCGCATCATCCAGGTGGATGCTGCACATTGGTGGAGGGGAGTCCCCATTATCTGTAAAGTGCTTCGAGTGGAGTGTCCAGAAAAGCGCTATATAAGTATAAGTAATTATTATTATTATTATTATTAAATGCTTTAAAGAAATACACAGCTAAAATAAAAATAAAAATGAGCAGTCAGCAATGCAAACAGCAGAGTTCAGAACTGAGCTAGATTTGTCTTTAACCCTAAACGTCCACACTAAACCTGACACTAAAGTAGTAGTTTCTGCACTCTCTATTTTTTTCTTTTTCTTGCGCCTCTGACATAAAAACCTGAATAACCTGAATCAAAATGACCTTCATTGGCATCTCACACTAACTATGTAAAGCCAATTTAATAACTTATTCTGTGGATGTCACTGTACTTCAATTTCAATCTGATTTGAAATTTGGGGTGATATTTGATCCAGGCTTGATGTTTGACCCACATGTACAAAATATTGTTAAAACATCATTCTTCCATCTCAGAAATATGCCTGACTGCATATGCATAGAATATGCCTGATTTAAAAGCCAACAACAAAAAAATGAGACAGAGGCTTAAAACAAAAAGTGTGGGGGGGAGGGGTGCACAGTCACATCAGTAACTGTCAGATGTATTTCCAGATTAAAGAGAAAACGCGCATGAAGAGATCCTCCTGGGTGGTGATTTTTCTCCTTCGGTTCAAGCACAAATCAATAGCTGCGCCCTGCAGAGGGTGAAATGCTGTCTCGGAGTCACCAGCGGCTGGCAGATCAAGCGACTTGCCATCAAAGCCATAGCTGCTATAGTCAGATAGTGTTTCATTTCAGACTGAGAGACGCGCCACATGCAATGGCACAGGAGGACCGGGGCTTGGTCTGCTCTGTGAAAGCTCTGGCACAGGGGGGACAAGAACAAAGGAGTGGGTCAAAAGTTCACATAACGGAGGAAGGTGTACCTTCTGTGGTGTGGTGATGCTCATAAAGTGAGCTGATTTTTTACTTGCGGTTACAGACAAAGAATTCCTGGAATGAATTCTCCAACTCAAAAGGAACTCATTCTGGAAACACAGTGAGCTCTGCAGAGAGGGATCGGGATGAATCAGCTAGGACTCTCTCTCACTTCAGAGAGAAATAGAGACTCCTGCGCCAGCTACCTTGCTCTCCTGTAGGTGAGAGAAAAGCCTCTCCTTCAGTCAGCACAGAACCTTCTGTAATTTCTGCAGAGTTTACAGTGTCAAAGATGAACAACTCAATGGCTGGGTGGATCAGGGGAGAGAGTCTGCACCCTCTCATTCTCTCTGCTTGGATACACAGGTTCGTGCACTGAACTAAGATGGAAAGGCACAACTGGAGGCCCCAAGCTGGAAGAGCATGTGATTAAAATATGAAGCAGTTTAGGAAGTGAAAGACAATCAATTTCTAGCTATTTACATTCCAAACACCTGCAACTGTTAATAATAATAGCTAATACATAATAATTCCTCATACTTATATAGCGCTTTTCTGAACGCACCACTAAAAGCGCTTTACAGATAATGGGAACTCCTGTCAACCACCAATGTGCAGCATCCACCTGAATGATGAGATGGCAGTCATAGTGCACTGCTACGCTCACCACACATCAGTTATCAGTGGGGAGGAGAACACAGGAATGTAGCCAATTCATAGATGGGGATTATTAGGAGGCCATAATAGGTAAAGGCCAGGGGGAAATGTGGCCAGAACTCCAGGTACTCTTTTTCAAAGAAACACACTGGGATTTTTAATGTCCAGGGAGAGTCAGCTTTATATTTCATCTGAAGGACAATGCATTTTTGCTTGGAGCATTAGGACCCCCACACAGGCAGGGTGAATGCCCCCTCCTGGGGACCTCTTCCAGCAACAACTTTAGTTTTTCTCAGGAGGTCTACCTTACAGATATTGGCCAGGCCCACACATGCTTAGCTTCAGCTGGTTGCCAGTTGTAAGTTGCAGGCTGATTTGGCTGTTTAATGTAAAGCATTACTACTCATGTGGTTCACAATCCAATTCGCTTATTTAAAATATCTGTACATGAGCAGCAAAGATTAACAGCTTTAAAAGAACTGAGTCTAACTTCAAACTTCAAAAACTGTTTGTCCTTTGAAACTTGCACATGTGGAGCATAGTGACTGATTTTTCCCAAGGTGTAGGAATGTGATATCAGCCATATCTTGCTGGCCAATGAGGTCACTCAAGGGATTCAAACCTTATTAGCTAATTAAGACCAGGCAGTAGCTTTCCCTATCAGAAAGAGGCAGAAGTCATGTTTCTTTAAAAGGAAAACACAGTCGGACCATGCAAAGGATCCCAGCTCTTGTTTTCTGAAGCTCAGTCAATAAATATAATGAAAGCAAAAAAAATAGCACTCAAAAACACCCTCCTTTGGGCTCTGCAAAGACTCTATAGGCTGTGTAAATAAATGATTGGATTTTTTCTGATTTTTTTATTTCCCAAAATCGTTAATGAATAATCATCGAAAGATCTCCGACCTTTCAGGTAGGGAACATTGTAGCAATTCAGCTGACAGTGCCCCAGACAGTGCTAAATGCAAATAGGTTTCAGAATTAGATTTGAACATCAAACAGCATGAAGCTAATGAGACGGTGGACCTGTTTAATGTAGTGACCCTGAGATGTTGTTCCAGGCTGTCCCTCCCCTGATGTCTGGGTTCTCCAGATCTCCACCTGGTGGTTCTTTTTCAATTCAGTCATCAGTTTTGCTCGTTCTGCCCAGTGCATTCAGGGACAGGTACAGATGAGCTCTGTGGCCCAGGTAAATGTTTATAGCAAATGTTATAGTTTGTCTGAGGGAGCTACTGTCAAGTGAATCTGCCTAAAGGGCCTGAGTTTTCAAAGATAGCCTTTACTACAATAAGGACATGACTTCACTCACAATCACAATATATTTTGGATGCAACAACCTTAAACTAAAGTAGATAACTAACAGAAAAACAAACTTAACAAATGTTGGGGAAATTTAACTTAATGTGTTTCATGCAATGAACTTCAGACCTGTTTCTCAAGTTTGAATCATCTTTATCATTATCATCTTTTGGAGGACAAAACTATAAAGTTCTGAGAAGAGAGAAGCAAAGTAGTGTTACTATTTGAATTGTTTTATGTTAATATTGTACAATACACTAGTAAAATGTAATTTATAATATTGTGTAAAATTGTGTTCACCATGATACAGAAAGGCATTACAACCCCTGAATCAGTCCAGAGAAGAACAAGAAGAAACATTCTTACACTTATAAGATTAAAGAGCTGATTTGATAAGAGAAATTGATAAGAGAAAACTATGAGAAGATCTTATTACTATACAGTACATACTGAAGTGATGCAAGTTGTGATGGAGTGCTCTAACAGTTTATATGACACAGTTGATGGTAAAGCAAATGCAAATCATGTGCTTTAACATCAGCAGCCAAGCGGTAGTTCTAATTCCTGTTCAGGATCAAGAAGTTGGAAAGAGATAATGAAGACCTGCAGGAATTTTATTAGGCATTGTATTTAGTAAAGAGATGGATCCAGAGAGAATTCAATAGTTTTTCTAGTGTATGGTATTCCTGGATGAATCTGAATTCTATTTAAGTATTTAAGTCGCACAGTTCTTATATGGGAGTGCTTCCTCTGAACACGTGCAACTCATGTTCTTTGGCCTTCAGATACTTTTAAACTTCAGAAAAACAATTCCAGAACACAAAATATAAAAAATAAATTACAATTTCACAGGGCACAGGACAGTATTTTAAGAAGATGATATAGTGGTTGGTATTAGTATTTGGAGGTTTATGAGATGGGACTCAGATATAATTTAATATAAGGTTTATTGTAAAACTCACAGTCCTTTTTTCTGCCTTTTTTAAGTGATGTCTAATTTGGGGTTAGTTGTACTGGTATGGATGAGTTTATTCTCCATGTTTCAGATTCATGCACTCTGTCAGAGAGGACACTGCTATTTATTGAGTAATGCCCAATTCATTCTCCTCCCACAAAGGCTATGTATTCATCTTGACTTGGTGATTTTCTCTTTTTTGAAGAAACAAATGCTGTGCCTCTGTTTCAAAATTGATCATACTGTATTTAGCATCTCTGCAATGGAAGGAGTATGCCTGTTGTCAGCTTGTGAAAATACTCTATTGACCAGCCTTGCTATACATTATGGCGAGTCATTGATTTTTGCTTCAGCTCCACCACATGATATTTGAAATATATGACTGGAAAACTATGGAACTTTGTTCCCTGCACACACCATCCTTTAAATTGCCAGTACACCTGACTGGCTGCATCAGTGAACCAAAATGGGGATCAAGGGTCCTTCAAGACCAGCACTCATGCAGTTAATGCGAATACTTTCAAATGAGTAATTTAGGAAATCATTATTTCATTATTAAAGAATTAGGATTTCTTCCCTGACCAACCCTACAGTTAAACCCTCGATTTGCTCAGATTACAAATTACAGATTAAATGAGACAGAATGAAAACTAGAGAACTCTCAAGCCCTTGGAAACTGATGTTGTCCATCCCTGCTACAGCCCATAGCTGCACGAGGACAGTCCTCAATGAAAATAGTCCCTCAGGTTTCAGAGGCCTCTTTAGGTCAATAATAGTACCAGACCCCATGATGAGGACTCAGTGAGTTTATATGAAACTCACCTGGCCCAAATGAACCATACAACACAAATATGAATCTACTTGTGCTTTCAGAAGAGGTTGAGTCCTATGGATCCACTGAACTGTTGTCCTTATTGCCTAGACTTGGTGATTCCTATCACAGGTTCTAATGCTACTTCACTTTGGATAGTGTCTTTGACCAAATCTGAAACCCCTACAATCTGAATTCTAAATTTATTCTGTAACTAGACTGCTATTAATTTCAGAAGTGAGTTTTATAAAGGTCTATGCACATACCGTACTGTACAGTAATTCATTACTTGAAGAGAAAGAACTACAAGTATGAGTTTTTATACTTTTAGAAATCATGTTTTTTTTTTTGAAATGCTCTGATTAATTAGGGATTGGTTGATTGTTTGTCAACCATAATAAACTTAGGATAATAAGTGTAGCAGAACTATATTTGCAATTAGTGCTTGACCTGCAGTGGTTTGTCTCTTTGATATACACAATTATATATTACATTTGATATGCACATTATTCTAGGCATTTCCCCACTCAATGCCTGTACCATAAAGCTCAGGAGTTACACATTCTGAAGATGAATGGATTGCATTCATTTATTTGTTGTATATAAATAATTGCTTCACTGAAATACATCTGGGCTATGAGTTAGAGCAATCTGGCCAGCAAATCAGATTCTTCGCCATGTAAAGTAAACCAAAGGAGAATGGCGTGCTAGGAATTGGCACACAGATATAAACCACTGGGAAGGAAGATATAATAATGCCCACACCCTTTTTCATTAGCTCTCCTGATATGCACCTTAAATTGACCATATGGCTAATGGATGTTTCAGTTCAGTTAGGTGCATCTTAACATAGGCCAGACTGCTCTGTAAGGGTGTAGACAGCTACTCTGTATGCAATAATTCCTATCTGATATGGGCAGAAGTAAAAAGAGCATTAATTCAACATCTTGCATTACATATAAAAAATAGCTTATGCAAGCAAAGAGAGAACTGAAATGGTGAATGTTTGGAGACTGTGAGAAATCACGAAGATCTGCCTAGTACAGTATGGAGGGGTTAGGAGGAAGGAAAGGAAAGGGGTTGTCCCATACATATATTTTCCAAGGATTTTTTGTGAACCTGCCAGTATTCGAAAGGATTATGAAAATGTCACACCACATTCTGTGACAAAGATTGAAAACTTTTTACATTAACTTGTTTTCACATATTTGATTTTATATACTGTAGCTAATGAACATTCACATCACCTACAGATACGTATGCTTTATGTGCTCTATGAGCAACCCACATGGTCAAAGCTGGCTGTTTCATTTGGGTTTATATATATATATGTGATCAAAAAGAACTGAGGACTTTGATATTCTGGATTAATAAAACCTCCCAAACCTTCATTTTTAAATTAAAGATTAAGCCAGACAAAGAGGCAATAAGAGTACCTGAACAGCATCAGTTCAGATTTTTCAAAGAAGTTTTCAAAGAAGCAGTGCCCCCTAACAGTGTTAAACATTAATGGTTGTGCTACTGATGGTTATACAGCTTGTTTTGCAGGATAAGTAATATTTGCCCCCATTTTAATTAAAATAGTTAAGCTGACTAAAATAATTAAGCTTATTAGCTACCTAAGTGTTAACCACATCCAAAGGTCCAATTGTTTGGGATTTGCTGAGAGAAGAGTTTTTGTCACCTGGATGGTCAGACTAATGACAAGTGGGTTAGGTTTATGGTTGGTTCATCTAAAATGTGGAGAGAGAGGTGAGTACAGAGGTTGGAATCACCTGGATTGGCAGAACAATGAGGGCCACGCAGATCATGATGACCACAAGAAGCTGGGAGGGCCAGATCTTGGGTGTCACATCGCCAAAGCCCACTGTGGAGAATGTGACGATGCAGAAATACAGAGAGTCGAACAGCGTCAGGTTATTCCCAGCTCGCTCCAAGTGCTGGATCCCACAGATGCTGGGGAAATTGAAAGACAAGACAGACAAATGCATCCATAAGATGGGCAGCTTTATTTAGCTTTGAATGTAACTTCTAAACGCAAAACAATGATTGAGCCAAGCTGGCCATTTGGAGCCTTTAGCAAGTTTTAAAATGGCCTTCAGACAAAAGCAAACACACTTACAGCACTACTGTGCTTTCTACAGATTAAGAAAGGTTTTCAGGGTCCATATATTTAATTACAGGAGACTGGCAAGCCAGTTGTGCATTACAGAATTTCAAACATGAAAGCACTCTTCAAATGGAAGAACAGTGGAGAAGTTCAGGATGAAAACAGATGCAGGTGTTAGCAGTTGAGAGATTTTAGAGCCCCACCAATTCTTAGACTTCCAGCTGAGAGCATTTCATCTGAGCCTGTCGTTTCTGAAGCAAGACTAAAGTATGTCTCGGTTGTCACCTTTCTTTATCATTGTGAATGTGTTAATTGCATGGTGGAAATAAACATGATGCATCACAGTGATCACATCACAGCTGCAAAAGCATGTTTTAAATAGTGCTGAAATACTATGGAACACAGGTTTTTGGATTTTATAGTCTTCCCACTTGCTATAGGATAGTTAAAAAAAATAAAATCCCCTAATCTGACATTAAACCACTCACACCAATTCATTCATATTTTTTTAATAATCTATCACCACTGTACTTAAGATTCTGAGAAGTACTATATAACTGTAAAACACATAATCAATGTTGTGGACAAATGAACAAGCAAAGCAGGAATGGGGCTCTGCGTTTCTGACCTTACAAAGCTTTCCAGGAATACAAATATATTTCTCTTTGCATGGAATTTGATGTCAGTTTTGTCAATATTAAATCAGAGAGGCAGTATTCAAAGTATACAATGTACTTAGTTGGCCTACTCAAATAAGTGAAAACTGAGTTAGCCATGGGGGAACATACTGCCATGGAAGATGACAAAGAGAGTTATGTTGGCTCAAACCACTCCTGATCCTACAGAACAGCAGTGCCCCATGTTTTATAGATAATATATGAACTGGCATCCTCTCCAAGGTCTTTGTACCCGTTGCCTGCTGGTATAATCTCTGGTTCCCTTGTGATCTACAAGTAAAGAAGTGGTTAAAAATGTTTGAATGGTATACTCCTGAATGAACAAATGCCTGGAAAGAGTGGTAATAGAGACCATATAAATCAAGCTAGAGTCTATGGTAGAGTGAAAAGCAAAAGACACTGTGGTCCTCCAGGATCGGGGATGAATATTAGTGGCTTAAAGAGACTGCTGTTTGTGTCTGTAAATGGTTGTGTGTAAAGACATGGTGCATGACTTCATGCAGTTTTCACCTCTAGTGAGGTCCATAGGAAAATCCATTGTGTTGTGTCACAGCTAGTAGTATAATAGTAGTAAAATAAGAACACGCGGTAACACATGGCTTATGGTAACACACGTTTTATGGCCCAACTATGAAGGAAGTACTTCAATGAATTGAAATGATCCCTCTGTTAGCGACGTGCTCAGTGCATTCAGTCTAATAGCTTTCTTCATCCGGGGCTCTACGGAGCAATGATCTGTGCATCTGGGCACTTAATGGGCATGTCTGTTTACACAGCCTCTGTTCTCAGCTCTGTCAACAGACAGCTGCCTGCTTTGAAAAGGTCAGTCACCGTGAGTAGTTGGCTTTTACAGGCTGTTTAATTCAATTACCCAGCCAGTGGTGAGAAAGCTCTCGGGCGAGATCATTTCATTTCTCTGGCTCTTTTTCTTTTTTTTCTGTAACACTGCAATAATGGTCAGTTGTTGTTTCCCCTATAAAGGTGCCATGATAATTTCATAACTCTGTCGTGTGCCATTATAGGTAAGAAAGATAAAAAGCAAGCAGTTTTTTAGTTAGAAACAAAACAGAAGTTGAAAAGTAAATGATCTTTTTTTCTTATGCATGTATGCCCTGTTTCCTTCTGTAGCACACAATCGAGGAAATGAATAATAGAAGATGAGAGGTGCTCAGCTTGGGCCATGTCAGAGTGGCCACACTCAAGCGTCCTTAAGTATGGGGGTCTCTTTGGCATAGAAACAAAATGAGAAATTTGCTCGTTAATTGATAATGATTGCACTCTGACTGGCAGAAGCAAAGCCCAAGCACTCGGGAAAAATAGTAAAAAAAAAGTGAGAAAAAGTCTACTGCAACTTCTCACCCAGCCAGCCAAGTACCCAAGAAAACAAGTCAGTCTATATTTTTCTGTTGCATCTTTTCAAACATTCAGGCTGTAGTTCCAACATACTGCCCAACTGTTCCAACAAAAACAGCTTCTGGTCAGATGTCAACAACAGATTGCCAGAGAAAAGTAATTTGTTTTGAACAAGAGATTTTTCCCTGTTATCATACCAAACTACCCTTCATTTGCTGTTATTGGGCAGACATAGATGCAAATCCGTGTGTGAAATCTGTATTCACCCCTATTCATCAATATAACACAATATAGGTGATATTTATATGATCTACTGTATATACCGTATGATTCATTTGATTGATTTGATTGTTCATAATCTTTACCACTGAAATGGACATTGTCTTTTTAAAATTGTCTTGATAATGGTATAATTAATAATGATAATAAATCAATGTTAATAATACATAATTAACAATTATTTTATTTTATATACAACCCATTTAAAATCACTGTCAATGACTGCAGCATGTACTTTTGAGAATAAAAATTTTTGTTGTGCTCCTCTACAGAGTCATTTGAAATTTCGCATATCTGTATAGCACAGGACATTAGGCTCTGGACTCATAACTGGAAGGCTATGGGTTCAAATAATAGGCAAAGCACAGCTGGTGTACCCTTGAGCTTAACACCTAAGTTGCTTCACCCTGTTTTAGGAAAATGTCCAGGAATATAAGTGGATATAATAAGAATTCAAATAATAAGACAATAATATTTTTGTAAGAACCATAGTACCTTACAAGAAACTTTGCTTCCAACGCATCAGTTAATCTTCTGTATGTATACTGAACTGAACTGGAATTACTGTTCATCCTAACTTAAATAATTGATGTAGGCCACTAGTATTTACAATGTTTCTGGTCAGTAACCATGTATTTTGGTTTCATTTTGTACATAACTATGTTTGAATTAAGTTGTGCACTTAATTGTTTCATATTACCACTGTTTAAATGCATTTTACTCATAGTGGACCAATGAAAAGAGCTATGTAAAGTTAGCTATAAAACTTAGTGGACTGGAAAGATTTTCAGATGATATTTATATACTAGGATTAAAAAGCACGGTAGAAAATGAATTGCAAAATTCAAGACTGGACAAACATCTGATGTTTAACAAAAACAAGTGTAGGGTTTTGCTACTCCCAAGATCTCTCACATTGAGTGAAGGAAGGAGACATAGCTTGTGGTCTGGGGAACAGCATATCGTTGTCGAAATTTGGTGAAGGGACATTTTTCAGAGAACAAACAACCTACGTCTGCATCCTCCACCAAATGTTACACACCAGTGATTTAGTACTAGAATGAAATGTTTAAAATAGGCAAGAAAACAGTGCTCTTTTATTTACAGCACAGGGAAAATAAAACAGAAGTGCTGGGAGACCTGCCAACATATGTCATGAATTTTGTACAAAGCTAATCAAAATCAGTGTAAAACAAACCTCTTCCATCAACTTAAACAATTTTCAATCCAATTGTTTCAATGTTGAAACAATTACAGCTCATAAAATTCATGAAAATAAATAACTTTAAAAGTGTGGTACTATATCTGTCTTTTGATTCTAAAATTTGAAAAGGTGGACAAAGGGCTAATTTCAGATAATGTATTAGTTTTTAGTAATATCCACAGAAATCCAGCAATGGTGTTTGTCTGCTTGTTTCATTGACAGTAAAGAATTATGCAATGAAGTTTGGAGAGGTGTCTTTGGTTGTGTGTCATGACTACCTCTGACCATGCTATTGCTGTACTTTTGCTATTTCTTCGAAACAACTCTGTGAGTGAGCTATATCACCCTGTAACTCACATTTGCTGCTAAATTAGTACGTGTTACTTTTCAGCATTTACATGTTTCCACTTTGTCAGCTTTTAAAATCACATGGCCTCAACTATCAATATGATTCAACACATTCACCTTCTCCTGAATTGACTATGTTAATCTTATCCTGGAGCCCTTGCACTGACTTCCTGTCAGGTTTCATGTCGACTTCAAAGTCCTCATGCTCTGCATGGCTTGGCACCTCAGTACCTGAGATACTATCGCCCTTCTCCCCACATCGCAACCTTACTCTTCTAATTCTGTTCTCCTATCTGTCCCCCAAGCCTGTCTGCACTCTACAGGTAACAGGGCCTTCTCCTGTTATGTCCCAAAGCTCTAGAACTCTATCCCCTAGAATATCAGAGAGTCACCTTCCCCAAACTCATTAAAATCTAAACTCAAAACCTTCTTCTTTAGAAGGGCCTTTACTTAATTGGTTCTGTTATATACAGCTTTGTTAGCTCCTAGCGTATTCAGTACCCCCATCTACTGTTTCCTCTCATTGTGTATTTTCATTAAATGTATATATTGTGCATTTTTGTTGTTGTCGTCATCCTATAAAGCACTTTGAGAAGCCACCTTTAAAGGCAACCCCTTGAAGCTAAGTAGGTTCAAGCGTGTCCAGTTCCTGTATGGGAGACCTCGTGGGAAAGCTAAGGTTGCTGCTAGGTGTTAGAGGGACCAGTTAGGAGCTCTCTCCCTGCAGTCTGTGTGGGTCCTACTGTCCCAGTATTGTGACTGGGACACTACAGTATACTTTGAAATGGAACCATCCTTTGGATGAGACATAAAACTAAGGTCCTGACTCTCTGTAGTCATTCAAAATCCCAGGGTGTTTCTTGAAAAGAATACCTGGAGTTCTGGCCAAATTTCCCCCTAACCTTTACAAATGATGGCCTCCTAATATAATTCCCATCTATGAATCGTCTTCATTACTCTGTTCTCCTCCTGCCTGTTAGCTGATATGCGGTGAGCATCCTGGGGCACATTGGCAGCTGTTGCATCATCCAGGTGGTTCTACACATTTGTGGTGGAGGGGAGTCCCGATTACCTGTAAAGCACTTTCAGTGGAGCGTCCAGAAACAGCTATATAAGTTAACAATAATAATAATATTAGCACAATTTGTGGGTGGCTCTTTTGCCAATCCCTCCCAAGTCAAAAACACCGGCAAGTCCAGGTCTCCCAATAATTAGCGTTGTAAACTTCTATTTATTCTACTTTATGTTTTGCTACTGATCCACTGACTTTCAATTATGTATCAGTTTAATTATTTAATACAAAAAAGGCCTGAAAAACGTCCAAACAGCATTGTTCAAATGTTGTAGCTGTCTATTTCATCAAGGTAAGTGAACAGGGAATAGGACAAGGTCTGAAAAGAAACAGCATCTTGGTTTTAAGACTTAGCTAAACTGTACCAGCATACTTCCCTTCTGAGTTTTTATAAGAACCTCAGACTGGTATTTGATATTGAAAGCAACCTCTCACTTGCAGGAGAGTCATCCTTCAATTCAAGAGGAAATTCCTCTTTATTAGGTTAGTCTCAGGACACAGGTACATAATATCAGTCTTCATGGTAATTTTTCAGTTTTTTCAAGGCTTCGAAATTGACTGGTATCTTTAGGATTAGTGTCCCTGCTACTTACCATGTAAACATCAGGCAAACCAGAGTACAAATCAAGATGAGGACTTGATTGAACATAGCAGAGTGGGTCCTTTGAATAGCTCGGTGAAGGTCATTCTGAAAAACACAGAAATCAGGAACATCTGAACCAACACCTGAATTCATTCTACAGCAATATGATGGCAAAAGTTTCAATGTATTTTTTAGTAACAATATTTTTTTACTAATACAGTTGGTATGGCAAATTTGTAGAAGCAGAATTGGAACAAATGTGATAGAATCAAGAGGAAATCAGAAATGAGATAATGTGAAGAATAGAAGTTTTTTATGAGAAGACTGGGGATTTTCAATGTCTCAGTTGGTAAAAGCTCTCACCCAAGAGCAGACTGAGCTCTATGATCCAGGTATCCTGGGTTTGAACCCTTAATATATATATTAATAGGTGACTATGACCATGACTCCTCAATTTTCTGTGTGTTCATCTTTGGGTTGCTGAGGGTAAGGTCAGGCATCTCTAAGCACTTGGTGACCAAGAAACCCCTGCAACTTCCGAGGTGGGAACTTTCACAGTCATAAAGTACTATTAGTGAGACATATGCCTCTCTAGCAATGGGGTTTTAAGTTCCTGCATGGAGCTGCATAGCCTTTAATGTGTCAAACAATGAGTGCCCCAGGGCAATGGGTCAGAGGGCTCTGCTTACACTTTCTCACTTTCCCTGAGTGGTGGGTTAAAGGGTTCATAATCGTGGCCAGAGACATAAGAAATGTACAACTGGAGATCCTAAATTAGATGCCTATAGAACAATATAAGTGGAAAGAATACTACAAAGTACAGAAGAGCGGGACTGTAATTTTCTTATATGGCCTACATTAATTTATTTGCAGGATGTTAATATTCCTACAGATGTGTTCCATTACATCATTTTAACATCCTATCAAATGTTACAGGTAAAGTAAGAGGCATGTATTTAGCTGTTAATGAATTGGGCTACTTCATCCTTTTCTTCACAGGTACACAGGTATCAAACCCCAGGACCAGGCAGCATCAGCACCATGCTCAATATACCTGAGCCCTCCAGTCACTCTGCACCATGATGAGACAATATATTTATTGGACATATGATTATCTCTGTTACACTATCTAGTATTGAACGTGCTGTTAAACTCTAATTGGAAACCTCTTGTTTCAAATTATAGTTAGGCGGCAAACTCCATCTGAAATCCATTTGTTTTGCTTTTTTTATCTTTTTTTTTATTTTGAGCATTTGACAACTGGGCTGAACACAGGCAGTAGAAGAAATGAAATCAAGGGAACAGCACAAGTTTAAACTTCTTCCCTAGAGCAGTATGGTTCTTCATCTAACTTTAAATCTCCTTAAACTGCCACCAGGGTCAATTCAAAGGATGAGCACACTGAAATGAGAACTTGAAGCAGGAATCCAGTCCAGGATAATGAGGGTTCTGCACATTTTCATTTGTCATGCCTGACAAACTCGATACACCTTTAGATGTCTTTTGTGCCAACTCTGATTTTTAGAAACTAAACTCAAGAGCAGCCCATTAATTATATATTAATTGGCCTGCTCAATTACTTCTGCTTCATGGCTCCACATAGCCTTAAGCAAGTGACATGCAGATAGAGCCAATGAGATAATTTTTTTAAAAAGGCCCTTTAATATAAATCCCCAATGACACCATCCCAATTATTTCTTTATTAGACTGTCAAGTATCTATGGACACCATGCCTCCTTTTTGATAAGGCACGTACCCAGAATAGTCTAATCTAAGTGGAGTAAAGTGACAGCCTTATTTGAAAATGTTTCTTTCAGTTTATTTCTGTCATTACATTACCTACATCTCAAATCAGAAACAAAGACCATTAAGACATCCAACATTAGATTCAAGTGTACTTGTCAAAAGGGGAAAAATAAATAGTGTTGTTAATGCTGCATCTTCATCTGGCAGAAGTAACTTAGGTTCTCCAGAGCATCAGGGATGGTGTTTTGCATCTATCTTAAATTTAAGGCTACTACTGACAGACAGCAAAAGAGAGCAAGACAGCAATTGCATCATTTCCTACCTAGTTTGCAGGGTTTCGGAGACGTTTAATGCAGGATTTGTGCACTTGGCATTCACTCACTGGAATTAAAGGTAGAGCAAGATGCCACAGATCATTCTGTTGTAGAGCAACAAGCTTGACTGTTTCTAGACATGGTGGCTATCCCTGGTCCTTCAGAGCTCATCCACCAGGTCTTATAGGTCACCTTAACTCTTCGATTTGTAAAGTTGGGTTTTGCTCATGGTTTTGATCAATTTAATCGGTTCATTTCAATTCAAGAATGGTGAACTGTGGTCCATAAGAGATATAGATTGCTGGTGTTTTCATTTCCAAAGATCTCCAACGTACTAAATTGAGCAAACAACCTTTTTAAATTGCAAAAGAAATTGTTCTAGGTGCTTAGAAATTGGTGAATGATGTAAAACTTGCTGAACCATGGCTTTCCAGGATCAGGATCAGCTACCTCTGCAATATACTGCTCCACTGGGTAAAGGTATGATTTTTATGATCCTTGATACAAATTGAACAACAAAAAAGCACATAGTTACACGTCTATGAAAGAAAATGAGGAGATCCTGCAAGCTCTTGTTGAACTGCCTTGTACACTACTGAAAATTAGACAGAAACAATCTGAAACTAAAAACTAAACCTAAATAATCAGGAGACTTTAGTATTTGCTAATGTTGATGATATGGGAAAAGCATTATTAGGCTGCAATGATTCCAACCAAGCTTCATGGCTGTGGGTTGTAGATACCTTTTACTGATGTGGTTAGATTAAAGTAAGCAATTATGAGCCGCTAAAAAGGTGCCTGGTGCTGTACCGCAGTATTTTTAGAAGATCAGAGTTAGAGTGCTTGTCTGTAAATCATTGAGCAGCTCAGTATTAAAGTGCTTGGCTACAGTCTGTACAGTTGCCTTGTGTTTAGAGTGTTGGGCTGTATTGTATTTAGTAGATCAGTGTTAAGTTTTTGGGTTACAGAGTGTTCATTAGATCAGTGTCAGAGTTTTCAGTGTGAGAGAATTAATCAGTTTTGGTTATAAGAATAACTGATAATGGCAAAAGTCAAAAAGAAAGTGCTGATTAAATTATTTACTTACAATCATATTTTCCAGCGCATGCTTTGCTAACCAACAGTTTAGAAAAACAGGGATGAAGAGGTTCCTGAGGGAAGGCAAAATTACCTAAAAGAAGAATAAATAGGAATAAAGAGAAAAATGAGAAAGTTAAAACCTTCAGGGACTCCTTGAATAATATAAAAAATAAGACTAGTTTAGGTTCAATGTTTTAAACATTTATCTGTACAGTTTGTTAAAAGACAATGGTGAAATAATATCTTAGTTTGTCAAATATTTTTTAAAATCTAGTAGTTTCATGTACCTATAATTACACTCCCCAGAAAGAACAGGTAAAGAGACCCGTTAACAGAATGGCACCTTTTTTAATGAGATTGCTCTCAGTGTGCAGTACGTAAAAAATGTAGAGAGATCTATTTTCTAAAAACAAAACAAAAACCTCTCATAAACACTGAAGAGCTAATTTCCTTCCATGGCCCACTGAGCAAGGCTACACTTGACTCAGTCCATTAGACACCACCCACAAAGCATTCACACTTTCCAACATTGGCGCTGTCAATCTTTCACACTGGCTGCTTTTATGATGTGTCAATCACACCTGAAGTGGGAGAATAATGCCGCATCTATCAGCCCAGAACCATTCAGCATCTTTCTTTAGGAGGAATTGAATAGAAATGGAACTATGACAGGTGAAATCACAAAGGTACACCACAGGAGCAGGAATCCTATTTACAGCTGCTGTCCAAATGCTTTCCCAACTCAGATGGAGGAAATAATTATTGGATATGTGGTTTACATTCCAGGCAGCTCACTCAGAACTCATTTAAATTGCATTATGTCATTCTTATACTGCATGTCAGGCATCACTGCTACGAGACTTGATCAGCAAGTCCCCATGAGGTGGACAGGAACTTATTGCAGCCATTGGAATTTTGTTACATACTGTACACATTTCTGTGCATTAATAAGACTGCTATGTGTCTTTCTTTTTTTGTGTACTCTTAAGTAACTCCTGTAACTCTTAAGTTCCAGAAGTATTGCCTTTTCTGTTTCCAGAATGGGTTATTGTTGCACTTCAATGTTAATGTTTGGTTTCACTATGTACCCAAGTCAAAGTCAATTTCAACAGATCATGGAAGAAGCAACACCAGACTAAATGTGAGGTGCTTTGAGTCAGTGTGTCTTTAAAACCAGGTCAATTTAGGTTTAGAATCATGCACATGTAAGCAACAAAGACTAAAGTGCATTTCAGGTGGGTGTATTTCTTTTGTTAATTCTAAAAAACATCTTCCAGACTTATGGTGTTTTTTAAGAAAGAGCAAGCTTTTATTGTAAATTAGCTCTAGCTATATCCATTTCCATGTCTCAAATTGCTAAAAAGCAGAACAGTCTAATGAGATACCAAATTCCTATTCATCTACTGTATATGAAGTTAAAGTGGACAGACATGGAAAATCAATTTACCTTTATTAAGGTGCTTCACCGTGACATAGCTAAGATTGACTGGTCAGTTGAGCATACTGTATATATATGTTATGAGTCTTACAAGTGTCAAACATGATGAAAAGGAAAATTTACTTTCTTTCAGCTCCAATAAAAGCATAGCTCTACAGCATTTCCCTTCAGGTATTTTTATAGTGATTGTGTCTGTGATTGCAATGTCTATATTTGTCTTACAGACATTTCGAATGTTATGTGAAGCATGTAGTATCAGATTCACATGTTAAATAAATTCCACTTCCCAGTATTTAGACTTGCAGTGACCTTTTTTTTATTTGCAGCTACTTTCACTGGAACCGTCTTTGAGAGAGGGTAATAATTAATGTTAGAAGGTTCAGCAACTGAGAACACCAAGAAATAGGATATTAAAAACATAAATAGCCAAGAAAAATTGTATACTGTAGCATGCAAATTGACTTGAAAACTTTGGGATTTATTATTTATTGATCTCTACACATCTCTACACATAAAAATAATTTCAAGAAAACACAGAAATATGATGTTATTCATTATACAAATCTTCAATAAAATGAATTAAAGCTGGAAAACACAACCCATTATGTCTTTTAAGTACTTTTGGTGCCATTATAATTTCTTAATATGAGATTCGGACCCAGGTAGATTAGTGTCAAGGACTGAAATACTCCTGTACGCATCTGGTGATTTGATCCATCTGGAACAATGACTAACATAACACTTCATAAAACAGAATTTGTTTGCTTTATCACTTGTGGTGATGCATCCTTTTTTTCCCTCTGTTTACAAGAAGTTATTTAATACAAAATGCTCTTTAATACAAGGACTTCTAACTTTTTTAATACAATATCTTCTATAACTGAAGAAGTGGCTTGTATTAAAGCTTGCAAATACATATTGATTACATCCCACAATCAAGGATTTTGTTTTAAATTCCGAGTTTTCTAGGGGATTCTGAGGATATAGGTTCATGCCCACACAACCAACAATCAGGGGGAGAAAGTGGGTGATCTTCTAATAAAATTAGCACACTATTGTATGATGTAATTAATTAACTTAAAAACAGCTCTATTTAAAAATTTAACAATTGTAAAATTTGAAATTGCAGCTAAAAGCCAGTTGAAGAGAGATTGTTCTCAGACTATCAGAGTCCAGCGCAACACTGGAATGTATCAGCAAACCTGAGTCACTCACTGTGATGACGAATGGCACGGCACTGATCATCTCCAGAATAAACGGGACTCGCAACACCTGCTCCCACACGTTGCCCTGGAAACAACAAACACACAGGTCAAGGATCAGAGGTCAGATAGGAGGGGAACAAAGAGGAGTCCTCAAGTTTATTAAAAAGTGTCCAAGAAAGTGACCCTTAACCTTTTTGATTGAGCCATTTTCTATTAAATGGAATTGAAAGATTGCACTGTTAACATTTGCCACAACATTTGTTCTTGTCATGAAAAAGAAATACAAAGCTAATGTAGAGCAGAAATGGGTTCAAGATTGTCAGCAGATAGAAAAACTAGGTTGTTTTATAGACGCAAAATGACCGGTCTTGGAAAACCTCTGTAAAATTCAGTGTTTACTATAATAATAATTTTTTGTTTTTGTTGCACTTCCAAGGTCCAGTTTCTATTTTAAATCTGGAATTACCACTTTTTTAATATTAACATGGAGTAAATAAAGACCTACTGTATAGGCTCCGTGGGGCAAGTGTTAGAAACAAACATCTGAAAAGCTGCAAACCCAATGTGCCCAACAAAAGAATTAGGGCTGATAAACTAATTCATGTGGCATTGATGCTAGTGTAAGCTTGCATGTGCTATGCAAATATCTAGTGTTGCACTTGTGCAAAGACCTAAGAGTACACTTTCTGACTAATGTTTATGCGATTCCAGATGTGCACAGCCACATAGGAAATCCCAGTCAAGAAAAACACAGTATAGTGTTAAGAGTACACTATAGACCTCTAAATACAGATGATGATTATAAGTCAACACTGTATAATGAAAGTAAAAATGTATGTGGAAATGTAGATGTAGTGTTTATGGGAGACTGCAACTTTTCCCACACAGACTGGGAGACAGCATAAGGCAAATACAAAACTATATCATATATAAGCAAATATATATATAAACAGTATCCCTAATGGTGGTAATTAGTGGGGTACCACAAGGATCTGTACTAGGACCACTGTTCCTTTTAGTTTATATCAATGACATAGATTCCAGTATTCTTATTAAACTACTTACATTTGCAGATGATACAAAATTGGGAGGATTAGAAAAGCAGCAAATTAAATTTCTAAAGATTTAGATAAAATTCAAGACCAGGCAAACATCTGGTAAATGGTTTTTAATGTAGAGAACTGCAGGGATTTGCGTGAATGTAGTAATGACAATACGTCAATGCAAAATGAGAAAGGGTGATATAATAGGGGCTTCTTATAGAAAAGGTTTAGACTGACACTATTTAAATCTTTAAAAAGCAAAAAAAAGGATATATGGTTAAAAGCGTAAACTTTTAATCAAGAAATGCTTTATTAAAATTGTACAGTGCACTAGTCATTTTTCCATAAGCACCTGCACCTCCACTTCTGTGTTACCTCACTCTTTTGTTTGCTGAGCTAGACAGTCTTGTCTACACTTGTTGCAGCCCTGTGACTGTTCACTGAGGCTTTATCCAGACACAAAGTCACTTAAGCGAATATCTACAGAATGAAGAATGAAATACAAACCCGAGGACATACAGTAAGTGGAAACTACATGTGTGTGGCAGTGCATTTCAAACAGAGAACAGGAGGTACTTCATTACTTAACAAGGTTGTGGAAGTGTGGAACAAGCTATTAAGCCATGTTGTTGAAGCTGATACTCTGGCTTCTTTCAAGAAATCGTTGAATGTGATCTTTGGATCAATTAACTACTAATTATAAAACCAGCAAGATGGGCCAAATGGCCTCATCTCTTTAGCAACATTTCTTATGTTTGTTATGAGACACCCACAAGTCAAGTCAGAACCATTCATCTTGTAGTATACAATAAGCTCCATAGTAACGTACAAGAGAGTTTTCATCAATTGGAGGATTGGTATGTTCCTCAGTTAAATCACTGCAAGCCTGCGGGTGCCTTCTAAGTCATACAAGTCATCAATCTACCTAAATTCAAGAGGACTCTGACCAGCTGGCAGAACTCAGGACATCACTGGACGTACAGGATCTGCACCATGGACATTAGAGCACTGTGTTTTTGCTGGTTTAGAAGCTTAGAAAATGGGCTTAATTCATCTTGTTCTAAAGTGTTTTAGACATGTAGGAACCTCTTAAGATGTAAATTTGTCTGTACAGATATAATTTGACAAATTAACATATCAAGCACAAAGAAAGAAACCGTTGCTTCAATAAGGAATTTTGCAAAAGCTTAGGGATTCCAGCTGTGCAAGTGGTTTACTGAGCCTTTTTCATCTGGTTACTTGCATGGTAAGACCTTTTTTTCAGTTTTTGAAAAGATGGAGGACTTTGAAATTAGCATTATCTCTGTACCTTCTAAGAGGTTTCATAACTTCTCACATTTAAATTCCTTGACAAGGTGCCTGGAATTTAAACAGCTGGCTAGGGCCAAGCAAAGCCAATAATGTTTTTTTTTTGTCTGTGTTTGATACAAATTAATTAATTCTCACCTGGAAATGTTTTATGAGAATTGAGACATGACAGATAAATGTGCAGAACAGAACATAAGGAAAGTTACAAGGACATTGCAGGACATTCAGTTTGGCACACTCACCTTATAGCTGAGGTACACCACCAGCATGGTTTCTGAAAAGCTGATTAACGCCACCAAAACCTAAGGAGAAAAGAAAGAAGCTCTTAAATTTAGCTTTCCAGGATTTGTCCAAATTCAAGTGTAATTTGTTAATCCCTCTGTTCTCAGAACCAAAATTATCTGTATTTTTTTCCTTTATGCAAACTTGTCCCATAGCACATGAATTAACGCATAACACAAAGCATGTGAATTAAAACACAGCACTTAGTACATGAATTAACATATAAATTAATACACAGAACATGAACTGAAAGGGAGAAACAGACAGCACATGAATTCACACAATGTACATGAATTAACACACAGCACTGAGCACATGAATTAACATACAGAACATCAATTAACATGCAGCAAATGGATAAGCTGGGCAGCATGCCCATTGGGAAGGGGGTAGGCACATTGCTCTGGAGTGTACATGTAGAAGCACATTAGAAAATCTCAAATGAAAGCAGGTCGTATAGCACATCTAGCCTAGTTGTAGTACTTTAGGTAGTTTTTAAGTGATGTAGAATCATCTCCATTTGATATGTTGTTATTATAAGGAATTCAGTGTGCCAATGATGTCTGTTTGCAGGGAACTCTCATTACGTCTTTGCAATCACCAAACTCAATCTGTCGGTTACAGCTGCCAGTGGAGACACTATGAGACACACAGAGGTGAGGCCCACCACGAGCACAGGAGCTCAAAGTGGTCACTGAACTTAAACCAGGATGTTGCTGCCCCTACATGCTGAAAGGCATAAGGGGCAAATATCCATCCATCCATTTTCTAACCACTTAAATTCAGGGTCACGGATACCTGGAGCCGATCCCAGCAAGCAACAAGCACAAGGTGGGATACAGCCTGGACAAGCTGCCAGTTCATCACAGGGCATACACAGACACACACACTCACACCAGGCCCAGCTTTCCCAGGAGCCAAGTAACCTACCAGTATTCTTTGGACTGAACATGCACACTCCACACAGAGAGCACTCAAGGTCTGGACCCCAGCACTGTGATGCAGCAATGCTAACTGTGCTACCATGCCACCCCGGAAGGAATTAAATCCAACACAAAAATAAATTCAAAAGTTATGTTTTATTTGGGCATTACTAAGTCATCCTGCATACCCCAGGTGACTCTCAGAAGTCCCCTGCATGTACGTATACCCCCATTTTAAAAATAATAAAGTGAGTATTCCTTACTTGCAATGCCCAGAGTGGTAGGGGCCTGTTTACCCAAATTATCAGTGACCTGGGTAGGATCAGAAAGAGACAAATTCATCATCTATTACAATCTAAAGTACCTACGCCTTAATTCAAAAGGATCTGACATGTGCCAGTGTGCAATGATTGGTTCACCTGTAGTTTTGATCATGAAACCCTTTGAAAGATTCCTTGGTTACAATGATGAACACATAAAAATATTTAGTACCTTAACAGAAACTTAGAAACATGTTCAGAATTTCTGGGGAAAATATAGAGATCAGTACAATTTCAGAAGAACTTACAACAAAAACAACGCCATCTTTGAAATCAACTGGAGAATTAACTGAAGCAGAAGTCAATCTATTATTGTGTTGTGTTGAACAAACTTCAACAATTATGGACATTCTAAGGGGAGTGGGGACAGTGATGAAGTATTAGCCACACCAGTGATAAACCTTTCTGAGAACAGCTGGAATTCAGGTCCATAGACAACCCATTACGTGGGCTGACACATTAATCTGAATGGCTCTGCTGTCACTGTAATGTAGCCCTGGCTTTCTTCTTGTTCTTTATTAATTTCCACACTGCTTTCCGGGTATCGACCGGCTGCCTCCTCTTGCCCAAATAGCATTGCACTGCCTGGAAAAAAGCACTCAACCCACATTACTGAGCACTATGCAGTCTGCTTTTTATTTTCTCTTGTGGTGCCACTGAGGCACCAGTGGAAACCACCTCTCAACGGGCATTGAAATCACTTACTGAGAGACCTGAAGACCTGGTGCAAGTAGATCATATCTCTTTTTTTTTGCATCTTGTTATCACAACAGGAGAAACATCACAGCATGTCTTTGCTTCAACACCTCACTTAGAGTTCTACATATTGTTTTTCCAGAGTTGGATTAGTTTTACAGTTAGTTGAAAGTCTGTACTTTCATTTAGTTTGCACAATTTTGAAAACAAAACAGCTCAAGAAGAGCAACTCTCATCACAATGTTTCTGCATACATCATGGAAGATTAAATCAGATTGTCGGTCTGATTCACGCATCTGTTATCTTCTGCTGTTGCATCAACTAATACAAACACAAAAATCCATCTGCAAAAAACAAACTCTACACAACATTTCTTCCTTCTTATTACCTAAATATGCTTGATTGATATGGATAAAACACACATTTGAAAAGGTAGGAACATACAGATGGAGCTCTGTTCAACTGTAAGTACTGTAAAAGCTTTCAGCAGCAATTGCTCAATCACTGTTCAACCTGTTTCTTAAGTCACTTTGAATAAAACTGTCAGACTGGTACTGTAACTAATTGCTGTTAAAATCTGTAGGTTTCTTTCTGGTTTGTGAAGTACATTGCTGTACTATACTGTATGTATTAAAGGTCATGCAGCAGGTTTAGTTATTGCATGTGCAGAGCCCTGCCAGCAGCTGTCCCAGGGTGGAACAACAAACCTGGTACTGGAATTACATCACTACCCTGCAAAAACCAATATAATTGAATATCAAACCCCATACTTACCAATCGAACTGGCTTTTCAGCAGTGTTGAGGTGTTCTGCTTGGGACAGCCCCAGCTGAAATGGAGAAGAATAAGAAATTACCCTTGAAAAGGGAAGAGTTACCTTCTTGATAAGCATTGAAAAGAAACTGATAAAGCACTGATTGATTACCCCTTCTGAGTTAATGATTGACAGCTAAAAGGCAGGCAGAATGCAGCCTGAGGCTTCTAGAGGAAGTCTTACCCCCTAAGACCTCTGAATGGCTGAAAATACAATGAATGACAGCGCTTTTTACCAATCAGATCCCCTTATTTCTGGCGGTCCTGCTTCAAACATTTACTACAAAGTCAATAACGTTCAATAGCCTCCAGGTCTGGAGATAAGCTAGTCTAGGCTTCTGTGGATATATATCAAGCTTCAGAATAAGGTAAAAACATGGGGTATATATATATATTTTGCTGCGTTTTGCTTTTGCGGTCTTGTTTTGCTGGCTTATTGATTACCTTATCTATGCATATTGGAAGTTTAGAAGTGCATCATCAGATAAAAAGTGACTGTGATCAATCGTCTTTTTTAAAAAACAACATTTTTTTTAAAGCTCCTGTTGTCGTTTTTCGATAAATAACATGGTTTTGTTGGTAAAAAACTATTACAAATTATGAAGGAATCAAAGGTAGATAATGATTTACACCGTAGACGTTTTGTGAAACCCTAGTTGAACACATTTCGATTGATAAAAGGTTTTCTGTAAAGGTTTTGTGGTTTTGGTGATATAAAATAATGAAGTGAAAGAGAACTTTTGAGGCATGTTTTTCTTAAAAAGTTGCATATACATGTACATCCAGCATTAAGAGGTTAAGAAAGACCACATTTCCCTATTGCAGAACCTTTACTGCGGTGCTTCTTGGTTGTGGTTTAGACTTCAGATCTAAAGCTGTGATCACTCCTTTAATTTGTCTCAGTTTCATTATTATGACAAGATGTTCTGATTTTTTTTCAATAAATAACAGAAAAAAATTAAACTGCCAAAAAAGCAGGAAACAATACAGACAGGGAGAAGAAATTGTGATTTGTTTTATTAAAAAATAGCTTACATTTTCAAATAGCCACTGACTGAATGACAGACTGACTGATTGAAAAGTTGCAGCAAACTAGAACAAATCAATCACTTTCCATAATGGCAAAAGATTTAGGACACTTTGGAGAAAAAAAAAATGAAACGGTGTGTAAAAAGGAGTGTGAAACAATGAATGACACAGGTTTCCTTCAAAGGAAACAGTTAACTTGATGTCAGGAGATGAAATATCTAAATTAACCCCTAACTAAGCAGAGTTCAAGCTGGAATAAGGAGCTGTCTCTAGAAAATGTTGAACAACAGGAAAGCTGATGAAAAATATGGTCTATTTGTGGAAAGGGTCAAAAGTGGCTGTCTAGGGTCAATCTGTCTTTTCTCTTTGGCATTCACAAGTCATTTTTTGAAGTCAATCTTTGGTGTGCCTGGATGGTTTTGTGTATACATACTGCACATTACCACAGCTCCCACAGTAAAGAATCATGTTGGGATAGACCATTGCCTGTTATAGAACAGGCAGGTCGAATAAGATTTAGAAACGTAATTTACTATTTATCCTGATCTTCATTATCATCATCTTCTTCAGCCCTCTGTGGGCCAACTCCCAAGATTCTTCAAGCAAATGTCTTGCCTTGGGTCTCTTTAACCACATCCCTCCCTCTCACCTTTTCACTTTAGCTTTTCAACTTGCAGGAGGTCTTCGTGGTCCAGTTCTGTAGGTCTTTACCCCGTCCACAATTCATATAGCCAGTCAGCATAGTTTCAGACTCGTCACTCACTTTCAAAAGTAATGTTTGTGCTCCATTTATGTGTGCATTTCTTCATTTTCTTTTGAACAGAACACTGAGCTTGAACTGCAGCCTATATAAAATTTGTGCCGTCGTGGCCTCTGAGAATTCACAATCATGAGGTGGCAGGAGCAGTTGAAGTGGTTTTCAAAACGTTAATGCACTTTATTTCATTTTACTCCCTGCATTTCCTATCTATCTAGAACTCCAGTCTATATTTTCTGCTGGTCTTCACTAAACAGCAGGGGTTGACGTAAAAGTGTTTTAATTCTGAGTGGGGGTAACCACAGATGGCATTGGAGAAACCCTTCTGGAGTGTGAAACCAAGAGTGGAAAAACAGCACGTAGGCAGACAAAGCCAGTCATGGTGACACGCATACCATCTTCATTTTTGTGTCATCTCACCTCTTACTTGTTGAATAAACTGCATGGAATTAGTGATTCTCTGCACTGTGAAGTTAAGTGTAAATGAACTTTATATGTTGATAAAAAAAGATGCTGAAAAACAAGTTGTGGGAGTGAAGGAGGAAATTTAGTTTTATATCTGGGCTAAAGAACTTTTTGAAGAACCTTGGCTTTCATTCCGAATTTCCTTTCACAGACACAGTCTTGAAACAGGTCAAATTACCCTCTGAGACATGGATCCCAAGATATTAAACCAGAAAAGAGATGGAATCTCTGCTATGTTCTTAGTCACATATGAGTGGTAGAACCTCAGGAAAACACAAAACTGGACATATTTGGCCTAGGGATCTTGACCAGTTTCCTTGACGTCCTGTGCAACAGCGCCCCCATTGACTGACTGGTGCTTGTGTAGTTTGGAATGTTATGTTATCAGAGAGGACACAGTTCAACACAAGAGTAAGAGCCCTGTACTAAGTTGTGCAGCTAGAGTTCTTCACCCAATAAAACTCTTCAGACAATGATGGAAATTAAGGATGCAAAGAATGTTCCAAACAAAAAGGAATTTTCAAAAATAATTTTCTAAATTAAATACTGGATAGGATAGCACCTGCTGTCCTCTTCTACCACCTATGTCAAATTTATGCATTCCATTCCATCAACATCCAATTAGGGAACACAGGTCCTAAAGGCTATCTTCATGGCAGTCTCTAGTGGTGGCTTGCTATCATTACAACCCACCACAAAGCAATATCCCAGGGGTCTCCACCCACAGTCCTGGAGAGCCTCAGTTCAGTCCTGCAGCTCAATCTGAAAACAGCTGCAGGTTTCTAGTGCTTTAAGCATTGTAATCAAGGGTACCCTATTGATCCCCTATAAATTACTTAATATGTCAAATCACCTGCTTCATTGTTCACAATCTAACTGTGACTTATATTCACACACAGTTAGGGAATTACTGGGAGCCTGTTAACCACAAGTACTTTAGTAATAAAACAACTATTAGAATCAAGTGATTTTGTGATTTATCAGGAAGTACAGTTACAGTGTACTTTACAACATGTTCATAAATACAGCTATAAGTATTAGTTATTAGTCATTAAAAATAATTTACATGTTTGTAGCAATTTCCAAATAGGTGATTCTTAGACTAAGGGTTTACCCAGTTACTTCTTTTAACTTCTATTAGAAGACAAACAGCAATAAAAACTACAAGAAAGTCTTTGGGCAGATAATTGTTGTTGATATTACTGAGCTGATAACACAGCAATAATGACCTATGATGTAATTGGAAAGCCAAAGACTATTTTTAAACATTTTATTTGGTAGTTAAAGGCTTAAGGTTCTCACGGCAGGCAAGAGGATGCCACCCCACCTCTTACACTGATACCACAGCTTGAAAGAAAGAACTTTGTAAATAGAGTCAGCCTTTTTCTGTAATGCACCATTGTCAGGATCTTAAATATGGACTGAAAAGTCATGGGTACATTAGCAACTCATGGGGGATTGCAAAGCTGTGTTGTGCAGAAACCTCTCTAACTGGCAATGCAGTGTAAAGTGCAGTTTTTTTATCTGGCAGATCAGACAGACGAGAAAGGAGAAAATGTCAAAATACAAAACTGCTGAACTCCTCAGATGTGATCTAGACAGTGTTAAAAGATAGATTTGGGCATTGACAGCCCTTAACATATTCTCTTTGAACTAAATAAATAAAAGGGATTTCTCTGCTCTTAGAAATCTTTCACACACTATGTGAACCAGATTAAGTGATTCCAGCCTCCTTGTGTATGTGCAAACCAGGTGGGTGGAGTGTGTGGGGGGACGCATCACTAGTGTGATAGTGTGTTGAAAAACCTTACCACTGCTGTGAAGCCCCAAAAAACAATAAAGTTAGAAGGACCCTCTTCTTTTCCTACTTTCAGAACGTTATGCCAGTCTCTGTCCCGCTGTGACGGAGAAGAGCAGGACATGGGATGACTTATCAGAGGAAATCTTTAACTGTGGCTCTTTCGCTTCAAACTAAACATAATATTGTGTGGGTTAGTGGGTTAGTAGTTTGAGATAGCAAATTGCTTCTAACCCCCTCACCTGAGACATCAAGACCCTGGCCATGAGAATTAAGCTAGCAGAACACCCCCCAACCTCTCAAATAGCATGAATGGGGAGGTTTGAAGAGAAACAAAATAAAATATGCACCAATATTTCCCACAACAATATATTATTTGTTGTATATTGAGATATAAGAGGGGGTCGGTGCTTAGCTACAATTAGAACTCCAGTAAGCAGTTTGACTGAAATCTGTGTAGAAGGCTTAAGGCTCAAGGACTTTAGCTGTTAGTAAAAGTAGGCAATGATCTGAAAACCTAGGGTAGAATTTTAGGGCTCCTGTATGAAGCTGAATTTTAAATGTGATGGCTACAGTGTCATACAATGTACATCAAAACCGTTTCACCAATAAACCATTGCACACTACCTCAACCAGAAAGGGATTTCTTAAAAGCTTAGTGACTGCAAGATGAGATTCCCTGCCTTTTGCTTTGTTTTCAACCCACACAAGTGTTTCCAGTTCCAACCGTTAATTATGGAAAAAGTGTCTTCTGGCCATCTGAATCACAGAACTTCTCAATGTATTTTAAGTAGGCTATTTCCACAGCAGGTCTGCAGTATATTTGCCTTATATGTTGCCATAAATTAAGTTATATTCTTACAAAAAGGGACATTTCATTCACTTTCTTATTTTGATCATGGGTTTGCTGTTGTTTCCTATGGCTTTATCATACCCTCAGTGTGGTTTGCACTAGAAAATTGAAACACTGCTTAAAGTACTTCCTGGGATTTTGTGCACATTGTTATTTCCATGCTTTGTTCAACAAAGTACAGGGAATGCATGTTGACACCACGGGCAACTACTGAAAAGCTATGATAAAACACGGTGAGTGAAAAATCTATAGCAAATGTACATAGATAAGCTTTTTAAGGTCAGGGGGTGTTTGAAAGTCTGCAGCAAAATTAAAGAAAGGAGTATGAAATATCATATGAAAAGTATCTGTGTAGTGCTACAGTTCTCTTTTAGCAGGGACATTCCATAATTTAGCCAAAAAGAGATTGTTCTAAATGGGACACCAATTGTCCTGTGTTGACAATAGCCCTGATAAACATCAACAAGTGTCCACCAATGACTGGCTGAGTTACCATTCTACATGTATCAGTATTATCCTGAAAATCACGCAAGCAACTCTTTGCACGGCAAGCACAAGATGGCAATGGTGTGTGAAATCAATACTGGCTAACAACACTTCTCTTTCTAGAAATCAGAATTATATCACGTCCAGTTTGGCTAGCCTTTGAGCCAACGTTAACCTCACAAGTCAAATCATGAGAAAGAGAAAGGAAGTCAGAAGGTGGACACAGCCCTGCAGAGCCTAAAAAAATATTTTATAGATGCTTCTGAGGCTAGTTCTATATTAAACATAAATTTGACTGTTACGACCCCAAGTGTCCAGGGGTATCGGGGTGTAACATTTAGGATAATTCTTTTGGAAGCAGGTGGGTTTTGGTGAGGGACTAGAGTGGTGCCAAAGAAAAGAAAATAACGAATAAAATGGATCTGGCTAGGACAGTGAGGGAAAGCTAACCTAACTACAAAAGAAAACCCAAAACACACGGTCTTTGGCATCTTCAACACACTAACTAACCTCCACTGACTACCCAAAACCATACAAGACAAATGGCACTCACCCGTACTAAACTAGTGTACTAATACAAAATCAACTAAGTGTGTAAAGTGTACCCAACAACCTAACCTTATATACAAAAGTTCACACAAAAACACAAGTGAACCAGGAATACAAATAAGGGAAAACAAGAGTAATCAACAGGAACAGGGTACAAAGAACACAAAAGTTGAACATGCCTTATATATAACACGTTAGGGCAAGGTAATGGCAAAACAAGGATAATCACACAAACTAAAGTACAAAGATACTAACAGAAAACCAACAAAATAACAAAGCCGAAGCTATACGAAAATACACACACACAAAGCAAAACAACAAACCAACAAAGCCGAAGCAATAAATAAAACCAAACGGGACCGAAGTCAAACAAAAGGCCTCTCCTTGCTGAAAACCTCCATGTTATATGCTGAATAAGATGTGTTCTGATTGGCTGAGAGCTAATTGATGATAACGTCATACTAACAGTGTGGTGTAATGGTGGACCAATGGGGAAGGGAGAACAATCAAGGGTGAGCAGTGTGGACATAACAGAAAAAACACACACAGAACACACACTGGGACGTAACATTGACAAAAGGTAAAGCCCTGCATGGTATGACTCACAAGAAATAATCTTTCCAAGCTTCAGGATCAATAAGGCAATATGTACAAATGGTTGTAGTTCAGGTAGGTAGCTGCGTCAGTATGCGTAGGCTGCAAAGGAACAAGTAATAGGTTTATTCCATGCTGAAAAAAAGAAGAAATAGAACACAACGTTTCGGCCGTGGAGCCTTCTTCAGGTG